GGTAAACTACGATCTCGGTTAAATTCACCATACCATCGATAAGCACTGGTCCTGTTAAGGGGGAAGGATATTTGGCCCAAGTGGAGGGGGGGTGGGGAGCGGTGGCCTGAGTAAATTTTTTAAATTAGTGTGAACAACACAAGGAGCGCTCATATTTAAAAACGTTATGAGTACGTATTACCTCAAAAATGTCAAACTTTACGATAGAGCTGTCAGTTGCCAGACTGCAACACTCGAACTCAATCAACTAGGGTTGCTCAATCCGAAATATAAAAGGCAACCCTCGTATAATCTGCTAATTGTGTCCGTTGGTTTGTCGGCGTGCTTGTGTGTGTGTCGGTGTGTATGTCTGACCGGAAACTCATGACTCCTGGCTCCGTGGATCTAGAGAACTCAAATTTGGTAGAAATACGTGGAGCAGGATGGGAACACTCATTGTGGGTATCAAGATCGGGCTCCGTCTACAGGGACGGAGCGTGCGCGATAGAAATCTTAGGTCGCAAATCCCCAACTCCTGTTTACGTGGACCTAGGAGATGAAATTTGGTAGGATACACTTTTCGTATAAAGGTAGCACTTTGACTATTCAGTACGTTTCATTCGATAAGACGGGATGCTAGAGTAGGGTGAGTGGTAAGTACAGTGATAGGGACCCATTAGCGGTAATACGATAAACAGATGAGGATATGTTCGTTTCTTACTATTATATTAGATCACAACCGCTACCCAGCAAAGTTTGCAATCAATGAAGAGTCCTCTTTGCTCGTTATCCTTGCAACAAAACTTAATCGACCGCCAGTAATCTGGAATTTTCAATCAGTGATATCTTCGTGAAGCGAAGGGTTCATTGATGACGACATCTGATAATGGTGTTTTCACCGCACGAAACATTTATAAGTAACACCCAAGGCCTCGGTTGTCTAACAGTTGAATTTTTGATGGGTATCCATTATAAGAAAGAGAGCGAGAGATAGAGACTTACAATTGAAGGCGTAAGCACCGGCTTACACTGGATACCTTTTCCCCTGCCCTGTTAGTCCTATTTCGAAGTTCAGTTGTAGTTTGTACAGGAAACTATTATTTCATTGAATGAATAAGTGGAAAGTAATTTGAATACTACAGTTACGTCAAAGAAGGAGGGAAGCCCGGCGTCAGCCGGGCGAACTGACTGATATCATACAACTGGAAATCGAAATCAGATTACCGCTGTACACTGTTCTCTGCTAATATCTTGCTGTTGGCTTAACATTGTAACATGTAGAACTGGGGATAGCTGTTATTCGACGAAGCTTAACGAATAGCCGAGACGAAAAAGATAAGAAAGCAGTAAAACATCTTCTGGCGATGGGCAAGAAAAGCACAACTTTCGTAGAGAGCTAATAGGTTGTTTGAAGTTATTTGTCCGGAACTATACAAAGTACATATTTTTTCTCTAGAACGGATGGCCCTTGTCATGACCCTTGCGAAGCGGTCGTGTAGCTTACGAAGTATCCTTATGCATATATCGAGTCGGAACGCCCAGGTTGTTCAAGGCTTCAATTGCTGTCCCTGCCTCAACGGTATCAAAGGCCTTATTTGCATGACGAACATCGTTGAATAATTATGAAGATTAATGAGCAGCATCACAAGATCACCGGCATTTTTGTGACAATTCGATGAGCCCTGTGATAGGTGCATATTTATTGCATTGAGCCCTTTCCGAAACCCTGCTTGCTCACATGGCCGTCGTCCATTTATCTATTGATTTGCTAATCCTGTTGAGGGCGACGCTTGTAAATAGTAGTGGCCAAAATAATCGGAGTCTCCCTCCCTATGTAGCAACACATCCTTGCTAATTTTTCACGACGTGAACACTTTGCATTCCGAGAGAGCGTGAGTAGCCTGGCCAAAGTTCTGCCGATAGCCAGTGGGGGAGTTTTTTTAATGTTCTGATTCAATCATAACAAGACTGGGCGCCGTACTATTCTTTATCGACGTGACAGCATGGCGAATATAAGAGGGAAGGGGGGGGGGACGGAACAAGCGACATACCCATCTTTCGTAGAATGGTACGTTGGTAGGCAGATAAACATGGTTGCCGAAGCATCTAAGGAGTTCGTAGATGGTCTTCTCCATTGCCCTTAGAGATCCAGTAACTGCGGCGACGAAGGGAAGTCATCTAGTCTTGTCAGAATCAATTAAGTGAGACTAGAACATAAACCTCGCTTACGAGAGTAACCGAACGCGTGTCGCCACAACATGGAGTACTAGCCTCTATACTACTTGGGCCGAGAGAAATTGCACAACATCGAACTTTTGGAGAATTACTCCAATCAAGTATGTGCTCTAGAACAAAATCTAAAGTATCCTGTAGCTACGACAGACAATGCGAATGTTCTTCTCTGAATCGGCGACTTCACCCAGATGTGCTGCTCTTTTTCTTTCGCGTCTTCCCTTTCGTTTCTGTAGACGATTCGCGAGTTGGTCAGTTCTACGTTGGGTATCAGCTCGAGTCATTAGAGGAGACATTTCTTGACTATCTATTTCCTGAAATTCGCAACTCTCTTTCACTCACTGAAAACAAAATCCAGCACGGAGGAGGAGACGGTCTACTCCCGCATAGAACGTCGAGATAGCAGCGACGTCAATCACACAAAACTTTCAACTGATGACGACGTGATCTATCTCATTTTGGAAATGTCTATAAGGTACCGTCCAGGTCCATGCAAGCCTTAGGCGTATCGTTTCAATGCTGCTATTGGTCGAACGGCTCAACACGTTTCGCGTGTATGTGCTGATGAACTATGGCATAAAAGCCATTAAGAAGGCGAGGACAAGAGGTGCTTTGGCAATGCAATGTCTCGCCCAACACCGGAACTTTTCCCACAGCTCGTCACAAATAAGAGGCTTTCTATCGCGTACTGCAGCGAAATAAAAAAGTTAACAAAACATTCCATTCTGTTCCCTGGTCAATATAGTAGCTTTCGGACCGCTCTACTCTACTAGCTCTCGGCTCATCCAGCTCCAATAAATTGTTTCCACCTCTTCTTCTTGATGCTGATGTTGGTGCCTAGGCTTGCCGTTCAGCCACATCTTCTCAACTGCAAAGAGCAATTCGAATTTTCAAACTTTTACACGGTTGTTCACTGCCATGTGCGTAATGACGAGAAACGCTAATTACACTTCTGTCGCATGTTCAAATGAAAATTTTTCTTCTGTTCTAGGAATGGCGTGCAGCGGGCGTTGCTTCCTCACTTTGGTCAGTACTATGGAGTCGCATTCGATCGTCTTACGTCGCTCGTACCTTGAAACGACAGATTGACACCTTATTTTTAGTCCTTTCGTCCAACTAAGTTATAGGCAGCCTGCTATAACCCTCAGTTTTCAACAGTTCTTCCTATTTGGTCATACCCAACGCTGATTACGATGTGACCGTCATCAATGTGCTTATGAAAACTAATGTTATAATTTCCGTCCACACTGACGCTGGGATGCTGGTTTGAAGGCTTGCAGCTCTCATTCGAATTTTCGTTGAAATATTTTGATCAGACTCGATCTATTCGCTAGATTCGGGAGCTCAGCTCGCTATCATTATCCGGTTGCGCTGTGTTACTACCCCATTTCAGGTACCATGAAATTTTTCATTTACCCCCTGATGCTAAACATCCTTTTAAGCTATCGCCCACTACATCTACTTCTAACAATGAATCTAGTTTTAGCTTCCACACTTACTCTACTGCGCGAAATCGAGCAAGAGTATTTCTTTAATCACACTAAGCATTCGGTTTTACAGGAACGAATCGCACAGGGAAAGGAAGTTAGAAATAAAGGAGATTATCCAACATTCAACGATGTAGAGAGTGATTGGGACTCCGACAAGGATAAGGTCGGTAAACTCTTTTATCGGAAACAAAAAACTAGAAACTGAACCAAAATAGGCAAAGAGGTTTTTTCAGGAAACACATGACTTTTTTGTAATTATCGACACAACACCAAGCCTTCTAGTTATGGAAGCTTAGAACATGCCTTTATAGGAACCCTCCCCGGAAATAAGAAGATCCTTTAAAATTAGAGTTGACGACTGTTAATGCTTGTCATGCCGATCTTCACCATCCATGGTAGCTGGAACTGGCAGAGGATCCCCCTTGACTTTTTACTCGTAGTAAAATTGTGTACAGTTCCATTGTGGAATACCATCCAAGTCAGTTTTTTGACTTGTTGAAACCCTTTCTTAGAGAGAAGCCGCGATTGATCATTTTGCTTCCTGGCGAGCTGAAGACACTGTTCACGTTGGTAATGCTCTCTGAAATTTCTCCTTGAACGAACCTTTGACCCCCAAGGATAGCCTAAGGGACAGTTGGATCGGAAGACGACCGAAACAGGGCATAATAAAGGCCCAAAGCCGGGGCCTAGGGCGACTTTAACGATGTTCCTGTGGTGAAACCGGACTACTCGACACAGACAAACATACGTACATACATACAAACACTCACACCAAGCTTGTGGATTACATGTAGTGAGGATACCGTAATCTCGCGTGCCATAAATCTCTCGGTTGCTATCGCTTTTATCCTCAACAGAGGAACACCGTCTAATTATTGCTGAGACACCCGTGATCAAGTGAAAAAGGCAGACCTCCAAAACATGCTGTCTTTAAGACATTGTGTGTCTCTCTATTTTACGCTATGTTCCCTACTTCATTGCCAACACTGCCCCGAATCTTCTGTGCCATTTATTGTGACTAATCTCGAAGCGTTTCACAGTACTCAACTTATTTTTAGGTGATTCCGCTGGCTGTCAGCGAAACCTCGTGCATCTCCCCTGGCTTCATGAGCTAATGCAAACAAAGATTTTTCGTTTGAACCTTTTATACCCGCCATTGGCTTAGATATCGTAGTACTTGTTACATCACTACTATAAGAAATTTCCGTTAACGACTTAATTTAAAACAACTTATCGCAAGTATCGCGGAGGTAATGCAAAAGGGCGCAGGGTAAGAGTTATTGGCGCAGCGCATATTTGATGTCCACGCATCACGAACGCTGCTTTATCTGCAATGCTTTTTCAGAAAGATAAAAAGAAGAAGGCAGAAGGCAGTGGCAAGGATCATGGCGAGGACAACGACAAGCTTTTGTCTGAGAAAAAAACACAATCACTTTCTCAGGAGTTACCGCCAAACACCTTTGTGGTCGTCGAACCAGCAAATGCAACAGTTGCTGCTACAGGCGGCAGATGGACACAACTTATAAACAATAGAGGCGATAAAAGGCTAATATTCAAAGTTAGATGCTCAAACAATAATGAATACCGCGTGAACCCAGTGTACGGCTTTGTTGATGCCTCCGGAAATGCCTACATTGAAGTAACACGATTGAATGGAGCTCCGAAGGATGACAGGCTTGTGGTGCAGTATGCCGTAGCCCCGTCGGACGCGACTGATCCTCGAGCTGCATTTGCTGAGCTGCAGCCTGAAGGCAACTTGACCATCAACGTTGTTGCAGCATGAGTTAATCCAACTGAGTTTTATGTTTGTCGGGTAAATAAAGATAAGCACCGTGGGCAGTGTACGGTTGAAATCTTGTTCATTCATTAGTGCTACCAAACAACAAAGTAGTCAACAGGAGCATGAAAACAGCAAGGATAAGAGCAAAAAGATCTCGAATAAAAGACGTTCTACCGCACATCCTTAACATACGCTCCCGTTCGCACAGGAAAGGTAGAATAAAATTGAAGTGCTATTCCCTTCAACCAAAGAAAAACATAACACTCCTTCAGATGTGCGGAACCCTGTTTGTTCTCGGGAAACGGCGGTTGAGGGAGCCTTAGAGTACGTAGCTTTCATCTTTTTGTCAACTTATCTATTTAAACCAGTCCGATAGCAGGGCTTAGGCCGAGCGTTCCTTCTTCCCGTGTAAAAATGGCCTGTCGCAATCGTCCCATCCAAAATTGGACGCTCTGCTGCAGTGGAACAGTAAAAAGTAAAATTCTCGGCCATACACACGTAAAAACATCCGACACACTTTGAGAGCGCCGCCATGAGCGGAGTTGTGCTCAAGTTATGCTTAAGTAGACAGTTTAATTCACCTTATTTTTCTTCATTTTGACTGAGCAAACTCACTCAGATTACGCTCATTTTACGCACGCTCCGCCTCTCTAGGTGGTGTTTGGTCATGTCACAGGTATTGCCATCCTATGCCCCTGTACTCCTAAGGAAATGAGTGCTCTAAGTCCGGAGGGACAAGAGCTATGAATTTCCGGTCAGGCATGCACACATACATGCAACCACACCAACAGATGCGATTAGCTTATTATATGAGCGGGAAGTTGCTAGCCGCAAGGCAACATATTTGCAAATTTATTTTAAAAAACTCCATCCTCTTCAAATGGACGAGTCTCGCACTATTTCTCTGCACACTTGAAGTATATCACTGCAAGGAAGATGCAATCAAAAGGAGCGGTCATTCCTAGAAGGATTAGCATAGTTTGCCAAGATAGCGTCCTCCAGGAGGTAACGCGATCTACAGTGAGGCACAAAATGCACTTTCTGGCTGCTGTGCGTGGAACTTGGAGGTTTTCAGGTTGCTCGAGGTCTGAAATTGCACTGTTCTGATCTAGTTATGTCACCAGTATTTTTATCCATGATACTGCTTCTATTTTCATACACTTACCAGTCGCGACGCCTGGCTTACGCCGGGCTTCTTTCTTACTTTTATAAAGTAGTTAGAAAATTTAGTCAGGGAGGGGGGAGCATAGCCTTCATTTAACACCAGGGGTTAAGGGCAGAGAAGGAGGGCTAGGCGACTCCACGAGTGCTTCGAGTGGTTCTCGGCGGAAGAATATAGTTTTCACCTAAGCCTGAAGACTGGAGTAGTGCCGGAGTTGGGATGATTACCTCGTGCAAAAAGCTAGGATGGGATACGAATTGAATATTTAATTGACTCACATTGTTGTATAGACATTCATAGCATGATGCCAGTACAGATCGAAATCACAGCTTTGAATTACCCACTTCACATTTCTCCCTTCACTCCGCAGTACTTGCACTACTCCATTAACCTACCCACTGAGTTACTGCTTTATATATAAGAAGGAAATGTAGGATAGGTTTTCCATGTCATCATTCGTATCGTAATCATAAAGTTTTACGGACGGACCGACAGACAAACCGACACACCGACAAAGCGGCAAACACACAAATCATCAAACCGACACACCAAGCTACTGCTTATGAATTTTGAGAGATTATTTTGCATCGAAGTAATGTTCGAGGGCTCTTAAAGCTGGAGAGTTCGAGTCCACATTCATTTGTGTTTTGAACCTATATTATGACTTCAGGTGAAAAAAGTCATGTGAAAATTTTAACGGATACAACTAGAGAAAAGAGTTTCGTTTTCGGCGATTTCTGTCCATGCTTGTTGTGAACTTAGATCGCCTCAGTAACTGTAGGCCTCAATTTGTTCATTACTTTCCTATAACTCTTTTACAACTATTGGAGGGATTGCTCCGAACTACTCCACTATCTCTCTCATTTATAAAGTAGAAATGGTCATTGTCGCTCTGTAAGTTTGTCGGTGTGTCGATTTGTCGGTTTATCGGTCTGTCTACCCGCAAAACCTTATAATTACGCTAAAGGTAGTGATATGGAAAACTCAGCTCTATCTTACATTTCCTTTCTATATTGAAGCAGTAACTTGGCGGTGGGTAGGTTAATAGAGTAGAGTGAATACTGCAGAGTGAAGTCATTAATGCGGGTGAAGTGCTCTCAAACGATGATTTCGATCTGTACTGGCATCGCACTATGTATGTCTATACAAAAATTGAGTCACTTGAATGCAATTCAATTTGCATCCTATCACAGCTTCCTAGACTAAGTAATCAACCCCATCCCGGCGCTCCTCCGTGCTCAGGTCTGGGTAAAAACTTTACTCCTCCGCCTAGAACCACTCAAAGCACAGAAGGTCGGCTTTCACTCCTTCTTTACACTCAAGCCTTCAGTGTTGAATAAAAGCGATCCCCTTCCCGCCCCTTCCCCCTTCTCCCTCCCTTCGCCCCCTAACTACGTTTTCTAACTGCTTTACAAAGTGGTAAAAATTAAACCTGGTCCCTGGTGGAGATCTAAATCAAAGACTAGGCAAACGAGAGCACAGCACAAAGCCGAGTTTGGTCACGATTTACGTTGCGGTAATGGTGCAAAGAACACTCGTCGCTCTTATCATTTTTCAGAAATGAGAGAGCATTATTTAAGTCTCGGCTCAGTTTGTCATTTTTTAAATGCTCTGAATAATGCAAATGTATGTCAAGGAAAGTTCATTCTTCTGGTATTATACCAATTAGGTCGCCCGGCTTACGCCGGGCTTAATTCCTTACTTTGGGTAGTTAGGGGAGAGGACATCGCTGTTATCCAACACTGAGGGCTAGAGTGCGAAGGAGGGGTACCCAATCTGACCTGTGTTTAGAAATGGTTCTAGACGAAAGGGTGTGGTTTTAAGGTATGCCTAAGTAGGGGAGGAGCGACAATGTGGGGCTGAGATGATTACCAGGAGAATGCGATAAGCCAGGATTAGGCATGAGTTAAACTGACTCACCCACTTCAGTAGCCCTCCCCTCCTGAAGCTGAGATCAAAAGACCGAATGTTCTCGGCTGAGGAACGTAATGAGCACGATTATGGGTTCAACTTCTTATGATAAAATTATGTCGAAAAAAAGCGGAGGTCTCCCAAATACGTTAGGTCTTCGATTTTTGTGAGGTACTGGTCGGAATCACAGTTTTGAAGTACGCACTTCACTTCACATCACTCATTTCACTATGCAGTACTCACTCTACTCCATGAACCTACCCACCAAGTTACGGCCTTATGTATAAGAGGGAAGTGTAGAATAGAGCTAGGGTTTTCATATCACTGCCTCTATCGTAATCGTAAATTTTCTCGGACGGACAGACACACAAACCGACAAACATGCAAACCGACACAGCAAGTTACTGCTTCATAAATGAGAGAGTTTCTTACGTACAGGGCTCGATTTGATGAATTGAGGATCTCCAGCTAAGGACGACGGCGAACGCTACCGATTCCGAGTGGAACAATTCGAAGATGGTTTCCATCAATTGCAATGCTTGTAGTAAGAAGTTTTCGGTGGCACATTAGTGGGGAGCGTCGTAAGCATAATTCTCTATTAAGTTTCGTAACAGCACAGAGGACTGGAAAAATGCGCTAGAGTTAGGATGGCTCAACAAGTGAAATGATGGAAACTCATCGGTTTGTGCAGTGGGCGGTACCTTCCACATAAACTCCACTCAACGAAACCGTGATAGCCAGAAAAAAAATGGAGAGGTAGAGCAAAGCTTCATGTGAGCTGGGCATACGTAAACATATCGAGGCTTCTCTCACGATAGGCGGAGCGTGCATTCGAATGTCATTTTTTTAAAAAACTTAGGAACTGTTTTCAAAGACGCTCTAGGACGCGGGACAGTAGTGGGCAAAGGCTATAGAAGGAATGTGGCCAAAACCCCCAAGCTGGAGAGGCTTCCACTGATATGAGCGTGGCTCAGCTCAAAATTCATAATTCTGCCCAGGTGGTTGGAAGTAACAGAATGGATGTAATCAAGGCACTGAGATGGACGAGGCTAAGATCGAAAACTCATTTCTTTGTTCAGAGATATGAGATATGAAGTATGAGATAGTAGTAGTAGAGATTCATTAGATATTACCTATAAATTCATCATCACCATTCACCGTTCATGAAGAAATCATTTCTGCCTATCTGTCCCAAAATTCGGTATTACCTGAAGAAGTGGGGTCACTTTGGGATGGCTGAGACTTCGTACAAAACCAACCCCGATCACAAGGCCCGAAAATTCAGCGGCAAATGACAGGAATGGGTATACAAATCGGACGAAGGAGACTCATCCGCGTTAAGTGGAGAGTTCTCGAACTTTTTACAAAAACTCATAACCCTCCACAGCTCATTGCCTCTATTAAAGGGTTTCCTCACGAAAGGATCTTTAGTCAACTGGTGACGCGGCTACGGGGTGTGACCACAGGTGGTAAAAAAGGGAAACCAATTACGAACCAAAAGCCAGCTCCACTTGCCCTGAGATACACTTAGGGAGTGGGCTCACTGCTTCTGCTGTGTTGAGCAGATTTATACCTTCTGTCTACTCGCAGAAGTATTCATGCATCTGTACGTGTGTGGAGAGTCTGGGGTGCGGTTGATATCATGTACTTTACCTTATCCAAGAGCTTGCTTTCGAGTGGATAGAAACAATGCGGGAGGAGAGTGAGGGCCGTGAAGTAGCCTGGCTAGTTTCCTTACTAGAGTCTAGCAAGCTACATGTGCCGAACTATAACCTATAATAACCTATATCATCCGTCGTCCTGTTGACTGACGATTTCCTTGAGCGGACCTCTAAGACGCCTTTATTCGACCCTGTCGCGAGCAGAGCGGTCCAGTGAATCGTACTGGCTAGGAGGACACGACGCATAGCATTACCTTCGTTTTGGGCTT